AGGGAAATGAGATGTAATGAAATCTATAAACGTTTCTGATCATCACAAAATATACTATAAGTCATTTTCAGATTATCAGAAAATTGTACTTGAAAGCTTCCTTGAATAGATTTCAGCTTTTCCCCCTGCAACTGAAACCGCTTACGCAAAGGTATCAAACCTACTAGGAGTATTAGGCTTTTAGCTTCCTGAGGTTTTAGTTTGAGTACAATTCTTGCAACATCTATCCCATGTGGCTTTTAGCAAATCTTCAACACGTTAAAATAAGACCTGCAATAAATATATGTTTTTAACAGAAAACTGAACATCTTGGCAGCTGGGGGTCTCATGGAAGAGTATTTTAAAAATAAATTATTTATGAAGTGTAAGCTAAGGCTTTAATACAATATTTATGCAGTCTACTTCACGGACAGTGCAAAGCAATTTGCCATTTTAAGTAACTAAACATACTTGTTTCACGTGATAGAGTAGCCATTAATAAAAAAGTGTCTTTTGCTGTCATAGAAGCCTCATAAAACTAATCTATCTGTGGTTCAACATTTAGCAAGAAAAAATAATAGATTTCCAATATCAGACTTAAATTTTTGTTACACAGTGTTTACAAAATAAAGCAGTAAATTAACTTCTGCTGATAGGCATTTCTTGCAAGAGAAAAATGTTTTCCTGGGTTAGTGGGGAAGGTGTTTAGTTTCCTGGACAGTTGGGTTGATTTTCAAGAAATGAACCGTAGAATACCTGGGTGCATCTCGGCTGGAAGTGGAGAAGCAGACTCTGGCCTCCAGAATTGCACCAAACTGTAGGCTGGAACCTGAAGCTTCTGAAGAGCACATACTCCTACTCACCCTGGGAAATCTTTGATTTTCAGACTCTTGGCCTGATTACCTTAGGTGTATCCAAAGGATAAGACACTTTTTGTGTTGCATAATACTGCTGAAACCTGGCCTTGGGTAGAATTTATCTTTATTTCCATGACCATTTGTCTAACCTTGTCTTTTTTAAAAAGGAAGGTGTTACATTCATTAAAATTAGCTGTGTGATAAAGTCACAAAAAGTAGGACAGTGACCTTCATCCATGTGTCATGAAGAGGGAATAAGGAGCTCGCTGTATAAATGTGGAAACCGGATAGGAACTACTCCTTCATTCCTTTATCTTCTAAACTGCCCCTGTTGGAGTCTCTTGGGAGTGTTTAGCTTCAGGAGGACACAAAAAGCCTCCGAAACAAAGCAACTCTCTTCCCGCCCAGAAGCTGCTCAGCGATACGGATGTTGGTGTTGGTGCTGTGGAAGTTCTTTGCTTTCTGCCACCCCTGATCTTATCAGTGTTCCTGAACCTGGATACATGGGAATGGTTCTGTTGTTCCAATGCAGGTCTGAGGGGTTTGCTTGTTTTAATGAGTGTTTGGTGGTGTTGGACTTGGGAAGAGCACTCTGAATAAGCTCAGCTTTCCTTTCCTTAATTTAAATTAATCAGGATAGTGTAGATCCATCTACCAGGAAACTGCCACTCAGTCACTCGAGCAGCACTGGTCTGACTGGGTCTGGAATGGTCTTGTATCATGGAAATCTCCTTCCTACCAACTCCCAAGGTGTCAGCATCGGTGGTGGGGCAGTGTCACTGCACAGACCTCCTCCCAGGAGCCCACAAACGCTACACCGAGCACAGGATCACACCTTGCAGAGACTCAAGCTGTATTTATAACATGGCCTCAGGGCGCTGTCCCGTAAGTCAGAAGCTGCCGTCAACCTTGGCACACTGTGCAGAAGGAAGGCCATTTGTTTAAGTAGCTCATACGGCCAGTCAGAGCGTGTGCTTCCAGGAGGCACATCGTGGTGTGCTACGGCTGACAGAAAAGGCGGCAAAGCAGTAGACTTAGCTGACTGCAGCTTTAGGGACTTGAAATTGCCAGCTCACCTAGGTAGGTTCAGGTTGAAAGGAGATTGGACATGGTCAAAGCCTCCTCCTAAAATGAAAACAAAACCAAACCCCGAACAAGTCTGGAGTAATTGTAGTGGAATTTCCTTTTCTGTTCTCAAGCTTGTCCAAGTCCGTGTTTGTCTGCTCAAGGTTTGTTTAGCTCAAACACAAGGATGTATTTTAATGCCTGCTTGTTCCCCTTGTAAAGAAAGATAATACTATTTTTCTCACATATCTCTCCTAATAGATTAGCAGGCTCTGAATCATTGCTTCTTTCTAAACAAAGCAAAATATCACAGGATAAAGTTAGCAAAATTTTCTTACTGTAACAAAAGTACATGGTTTACCAATTTAAAATAGGCAGAAAAGCTACCTACTTTTTTTAATCTCTAGTTGAAATCAGTGTTGTTTCCAGAGACAACTACAGATGAATACTTACTACTAGACTTTTTTTTGAAGTAGCTTTAACTTTCATGACACTGGAAATACGTGTGAAAATTACCCGAGAACAACTTCTTGAATTTCTTTACTCTGATAAATACAATTTTAAACATCAACTTTTAAATGCCTTACTCTTTAAATATATGCTTACTGTAATCAGAGTGGGGCTTGTTGTTCCAGGTAGTACGCTTCTCTTAGTTTCAGTTTAACTTAATAGGTGACCTTGGAGACCCTCACATCTGACCTTTAGGATCTTTCACAAACCCTTCCCACATCAAGGCGTGGGTTCACATATGAAAATTCCCAGGCCTTTGACATTTTACATTTCTCAGAGCAGACTAACCTTTCAGGGAATCCACATAATAAGTTGTTTGTGGTCCCTCCTGCATGTCGTGAATTTACGTTTGTGAAGGTAAAGAGTGTTTTCTGGAGATGCTACAAAATTTATTGATCCCATTAATTTGCCCACCAAGAGAGTAGAAGATGGCTTGTATTCAAAACCACTGTGAAAGTGTTGTGTACTACAGGCATTAGCATTCATCTGCTGTGGTGAAAGCACATGATGAGTGTCTGTTTGTGGTATTATAAAACCTAGAAAGACAGTAACAGTTCCGTTAAAATTTCATGTACTATGGACCTCTTAGGGTACTGAAGCGTATATTCCATTTGGAGGAAAAGGCCAGATAAATTTTTACCACAGCCCTCTACTTCAGGGGCTACTTAAGGGACTAAATAATGATTTTTTTTTTTTTATTGAATGGTAATATTTTATGTCAAGTTATTTTTTGGTTGAAGATGGCATCTTTGTCTAAGAGACTGTTGCGGGTTCTGCAGAATAGGTTTTATTGTTCTTCTAGATTATGTGTTGAAGGATAAAATGCTGTCATTTGTAAAGGGGTTTCATAAACCTATTTCCCAGCTTTTCCTGACTAGGAATTTGCAGCCACATCCTCAGAAGTGAATAAATACACAGCTCATACCTATGGGTTCTTTATGAACATCTGAGGCAAAACTGAACAAAGTATTTGGGTTGTTTAACTCTCCCGAGTTTTATGGAAATTCAGTGCTTTCCTTGAACTTTGAGTGCTTGAAATTAATATGCTAATGAAAAGAAGTCTTGCATGGACAGGTTGTGATGTCAGGGTTTTGTAGACAACCATTGTCAACAATCCTGTTCACAGAATGATAAATTCAGTCTTAAAATTACGTGGATTTTTTTTTTTTCCGCTCAAACTTTCATATGGCTGGATAGTATGGGATCAGATTCTTATGCCTGTCTTCAAGCAGCACTTCCCTCTCCGTTTCATAACTCTAAAACTGTAGCTTTTGCTTAATTTGCTTTAGCGTAATACTGGTAGAATTCTTTGGTTTTGACTTTGCAGGTGAGGGTGGTGTAAGGAAGAACACCCTTTGGTCCTTAAACATCCCTTTGCTTACATCCCACTCTGGGTTTTTTACCCACTTGTCCTTCTTAGCTACCTTCAAGAAGAATGCTTCCCATTTTCCACAGGTTGTCTCAATCCATCTCCAGTAAGATTTCTTCTGATCTTTGGTTTTTTTTTTTTATTTTGTTTTTCAATTTTGGCACTGTGTTTTCAATTATGAAGAGTTTGATGTGGCTGTAGAGTGCATCTGTGGTCAGTGGTCTTTATTGCCGTAAAGTACGGCACATCAGTACGATAGTGTCACCCTCCTGTTCCAGGACTCTGACCGTGCTTTAGTCTGCAGCACCAGCACTTTGCAGTCTCTTGTCTGTAACTTTTCCCTTAATTCTAGGACTTTGGGGACTGGAAGCTTGA